TTAAGCATCATATATAAACCAATTATAATTTGCATATAGGCAAATCTGTAACCAATACAAGCTCGTGGTCCTTTGCCGAAACCCATATATGCCATTGGATGACGTTTTGCAATTTCTTCTGTCGAAAATCGGTTGGGATCGAAACGTTGAGGACTTGGATATATGTCTGGATCATAATGTAAGGCATCAATTGGCAAAACAACTGTAGTTCCTTTTTCAATGACATGATTTGTATTTGGTAAAATATAGTCCTTGGCAGCTTTGCGTACGATAACCGGTACAACTGAATACTTACGCGTTGTTTCTGATAAAAAAATATAAAAATATATTAGTTTCAACATTCAGTTTAGTACATATAGTGTTTATGGTACATACCGTACATACAGTGAAGTAAATACTTCATTTCCATAACTGCTTCATAAGTAAGTTTGTCATCATGCTGAGCCATAACTTCATTCATTTCCGTCCGAGCCTTCTCTTGAATGTCTGGATTTAAAGCCAGTTCGTATAAACAAAAACTCATTACACTTGAACTTGTTTCAGAACCTCCTACAAAGAATGAAAATGTCTGTGCAGTTATCTCTTCCATTGTTAAAGCATCTGATGTCTCTGATTGTCTTAACTCCATTAATATATTAAGATAATCTTTTCGTTGTATACCCGTTTTCTCTCGATATTCTACAGTGTCACGAACAATTTGAAAGAAGAAGTCTGAAATTTCTTTTGGAAACAGTTTCATTCTGAATTTTCGTGCTAAATTTGGAAAAGTGTTCATAAGCGAAACAACAGGCATACTGTGTTTAAAATAACCAATCTTTTCACAAGTTTTACTAAATTTACTTGTTGGATCCTTTAATCTATTGCACTCTAAACCGAAAGCAACGCTTCCTATAACGTCTGTTGCATAGCGTGACATAAGATCTGCAAAATCAATTCCTATATTCATATCTGCAGAGTTTCGCTCATCTTCCAAAACACTGATTAATTGTTCAGCTACATCGACGACAGTGGTAAACATACTTTTTATTTTTCCTGATGTGAAAGTTGGAGTTAATTTTGTTCGTAAATTTTTCCAGTGCTCTCCTTCTAAAAACAGCATGACAGCAGAAATTGGATCATCTTTTTTATTATAATACGTTCCCCGATCTGGAAAATGTGCAAAATCGTTAACACAAATATGCTGAATTAAATCGAGATCGAGCAGTATAATCGTTTTGTTGAGAAAGAAATAAAATCCAACGAATCGTGCTTTTTCCTTGAATTTCATATAATATTCTTGGAAAATATCATACAATGTTTTGGTGCGATAAAATTCCTTAAGATTTCCGAAAAAAAACACTGGTTTATCGTGCAATACATCGCGGTCCTTAAAATATGAATATTGCTTCCGTAACGCCAAATAAATAAGCAGGAAGCTGCCGCATATAAAACACACAAGAATTTTTATTAAGTCTATCATGGTGTCTCTACTGTTCGTTAAAGGTTGTAAACTTGACTGTCACTATTTATATGTACAACACCAATTAAATAGTTTTATTTTTAATAACTTATTGTATTAAAATAAAATAAAAACGTAATTTACATAGCTTTTTAATTGTCTTAAAATGAAAATTACTTCAACGTCAATTAAATAATTGCTTTTATTGTAGTCTTTTTTAAATCATTGCTTATTTAATTATATATTATTGGGACTTTGTCCTCTACTATCCTAACTCCTATTATCTTAATTGATACTTAGTTGTTTTAACATCCGTTTCACATCAGCAGATATTGATATATTTGAGTCCAATTTGGTTCAGATAGATATTTAGCTTATTATATCTTTATAGAAACCTAACAGAAGTTTAACGTTATATCATTTATTGCTACTCTTCATATTATTTTTTTTTTCACAATATACGTCTTCGAAGTCAGTCCTTTTGTTATGATCATAATAACAACACGAACGTGAAGTTGAAAGGCGTGCAGAAAAATCCTTTCGTTCACTTTCGATTAGGTCATCAAGCCAGGATATACAATATTCTCTTTAATGATTTTTGCTGTAGCTGTGAGGGGAATGAAAGACGGAATATTACTCTCGAGGCCACATCCGATATGCTTTAAGCTTACTTTCTGGAAATCTTCATGAACCGTAATCGGAACAGTTTCATGTAATAACACGATTGGTATAACTGAAATCACTGGTATAATCTGAAATATGCTAAAAATTCAATGTAAATATAAAGTTAAATAATTTTGAAAAGAAAAGAAAGAATAATTGATACGCAATATAAACTTTCGTATGAAGAGTATTAATAATTCGGCAAAGCTGAAGTTACATCTATTTTCATGTAATTTCATTTAATTCAATTAAGTATATGCTATTTTTTCTTGAAATTGCTGTCAGAAAAGCTATACTCATTTAAACTATTATACAAAATGGGTTTATTTTTAAGTAGTAAGTTTTTATTGTTTTGTTTAAAAAAGTTTAGATAAATGTGTTAAGTTCTAAATAATAACAATTTAACTAGATGAATAAAATTATCGTCGTCTGTGCGAATCGTAGAGTAACATTGGCATGACTTTCACAGTATTACGTTCCTAGATTAGGTTTTATACATTAGAAAGAATATGCAACAAATAATGCTTCTACAAACAGTATAGTATAGAAATTTAACAATTAAAAATAAATATATATAATTAATTAATTCAATTATCATTTCGTTCTAATATAAACACAGCAAGAGAATTTATTAATAACATATAACTTTCACAACAAATTAACAAAACTCCAGGAAAATGTGCGAACATAAAAGTAATACCTCTCTGCTTAACGCTAAAGCACAAATCATTCGCATTACTCCCGACGTTCTCCAACCTAGTACCCTGCTATATGACTTGAAATCCATAATTCAGTACAACTCTCCTCAATATCGTTCATTATACTTCAAATCCTTGCATTTAACTATTTCCATCATTCCTCTCCATAACCGTCATTTTCACGATTCCAGTTATAGAGCCTATAAGTAACCTGCCAAACGTGCAGGTTATATTGCCAGACAGATGAAGACAGATGCTTTCTTCGATTGCTAATGTGTTAAAGAAAGTAGGACTAGAGGACATCAATATCGAAAATAGTGTTGCACAGATCAGGAGACAAGTACAACATTAGAACAAAATTTTACAATACATTGAAAGTATGCCTTAAAACAAGAGACAAGACTTTATCATAAGTTGAAATAAGACGAAAAACAATTTGGAGATCCTATCTTCAAGTAATGTTGCGATAATTCTAGTGTAATATAGACTCAAGTAATGAGACGATTTTTTAGTCCATTTAAATCAGACATACCACTAATGTGTTAATGATTGACGATACATTAGGCTATTTTCAAAGACAAATCCACAATATAATGTGATTTTAAAAAGATTGTCCATAATACAATAAATTAACAAAATGAAGTTTATAATTTTATCATTGTTTAAAAACAAAATTTAGAAATATTTCACTATTTGAGGAAAGAACTGTTCTCCATGTCAATGGTTTCATTTTATAATTACAATCTTTAACATCACTTTTTCTTAAAGACTGTAATTACTTCAAAATACTTCGTAAGTCTTCAGTGGAATGTATCAATACACTTTTGTTTTCGTATGAGTTATTGAAAGCCTCATCTACTTTTAGTGACGTTGGAGACACATATCTTAAATTATTGAATGTGTTAACTACCTGTAATAAGATGAGGTCACATGGAAAGTAATTTCATATATCTCTTATATATATATAACTTTTTGACATATAGATTATACAAGTGTCTTTATAGATTATATGAAGTCTTATAGAGATCCTGCATGAAAAATTAACTTCATTCATTCGTGTACTTACTTTTTTGAACAACTGCTTAGATTTATATTTAATTTATTTATTTTCATTTATAAAATTATATTTAACGCACTCATTTGATTACCTCAATTACTGTGCATCTAAGTTGACAACATTTGTAGATATATTGTTATATCGATCGATGTCATTTAGGTTATAGATATATATATATATACATACATAATTTTTTCAAAAGAGTAGTAAAGGTATTGTATAATAATATAATATTAAAACAAATTAAAACAAAAATTTAATCCATAAAACTGTAGAAAATACGTTTTATTGGCTACTACACAGATTATTTATAGATATAGATAATAATAGTAAGAACTTGCCCTTACCAGCAAATGTACCGTGTCCAAATAAACGGTACGGTAATGCTTTATAAGGTAACATATAAACGCCCATGAATTATAACAATAGCCACTTTTTCATCAAATCGAAATATTTTTTATTGCTATGTATGTACATAATAGTGTTTTTATTTAACTGTTTTTTTTAATTGTTCGTTTGAAATGTATTTCAATATTAAAGTAAAAAGTTATGAAAATAAATTTCAATATAAGCGATTTATTTTTACAGAGTTTATTCATCGGAAGGATTGACTCAGAAAAAGTTAATTTATTGCGTTCAAACATTTAAAGTGCAGTCTTAGTATTTTTGGAAAATGTTTATTAAGTTCTATAGCATCTGCCTAACTTATTTATCGATATTTACAACTAATGTTATACTTAAGGACAACCATCTAACATTGACAACAATACGTGCGGAGTTTCAAATTAACCATCGGACAGCTGTTTATGAAATTCTTTTAGATATATTATCTAAACATAATTTTGAAACAATATATCTTAAAACCTCTTCAACTTGTTCGCTATGTAAATTAATTGGAAATCTGACCATACCAGTTATAATAGACGATTTACGTACAAGCTCCCAAATAAAGCCTACAATCAACAGTAACCTCATAGCAATTGTCTTCTGGAACAAGAACCTCAGCATAAGTACGTTAAATCTGTTAGTACAAACATTACATAGTATGCGAGAAACGAAAACAATGATCTATGTGTCTACAGCTTCAGAAAAGTACTCATTTAAATTAGTTGAAAACATACTAAGTTTCTTTTATAATCATAAAATGTTTAACGTTTTTGCTTTCATTGGAGACTCCAGTTATAAATCTGAGTTCTACACATTGTGGGCATATCCGAATTTCCATATAGTAAAAGAAAGTGTAAGCGCTTTAGCAGATTATTTTCCAAATAAATTTAAAAACTTACATGGTACTAGTATAATAACACTACCAGACCAGTTAGAACCAAGAACAATAGTGCACAGGAATAAATTGGGTCAACAGGTGTTAACTGGTTATGTCGGGAAACTCATGCTCACACTCGCTTGGAAATTAAATGCTACACTGAAATATGCACGACCAGTAAAAGGTGGAGAAATCATTTTTTATGGTGATTTACTTGCGTCAACAAAAAATGGAACCTTGGATATGCCAGCCAGTATTCTACCCATTACAAATGTAAGTGACTTCCACTATTTTACTTATCCATTCGAGTTTGTCCATTCATGTTTAATGATTCCAATAGCAAAGGATGTACATTTGAAAGATATCTATTTATATATATTTAATCTTAAGTTCGTCGTCATCTGTGTGATAATTTATTTTGCTTTTACACTTTTTCTCATGTTACACCAATTAAAGTTGACCATTCTTCGATATACACGAAAACATTATCAATGTCACATATTCGAATTTATACTTAATGATGTCACATTGCGTGGTTTATTGGGTCAAACCTTTAACATGTTGCCCAATGCAAATATTACGCTTAAACTAGTATACATATTGCTATCCTTATCTGGTTTATATATAAGTAGCCATCTACAGGCTTACTTACAGACTATGTTAACGCAGCCTCCAAAAGAGCGTCAGCTAATGACATTTAAGGATGCTTCTGAAGCAAAACTTCCAATTCTTGTCAGCGAAGAGGAGCTTATATTCTATACAAGTACACAAAACTTATACAGTGAATACTCTTTACATTTTGTCTCAACTTTTTATGCTGACTTCCATCAGAAACGCAATTATTTTTTTTGTTAAGTACGCTTATCCAATACCTAATATCCTATGGATGGTTTATGAGCAACAACAAAAATTTTTTTCACGGAAGCTGTTTGTTTTTTCGTGGGAAGCCTGTTTTATGAGTACTACTTACTATGGGTTTACATTGCAGAAGCATTCGTTATATAGACCAGCTGTTGAAAATCTTATATTGGATGTACGCGCTTACGGATTAATCGATAACTGGTTTCATGCAAATTTTTATGATATGGTAATGGCCGATAGAGTTTCATTTACAGATAAAAGCAATCCGAAGGTGTATGGACGAAGGTGTAAACTTATAAAATTTCCAAATGATTTACCGCTTTATACAGCTTCTTATAACGTAGAAGACTACTGCTTAATGATACTATTGCCAAGCTATAGACGAACGTTTGATATTTTTACGGATATTATTCCGTGGGGTCTCAGAGCTATTATACCAATTTTAGTATTAATATTTGCTTTACTGTTTCTGTGCAGTATGCATCAAAGTCGAAACAAGATTTCTTACTTGGATATATTTTTGAATGATAAAAGTATTAGAGGTGTACTTGGACAATCATTTACGCTGCCCAGTAAATTGAATTTAAAAACCAAATTAATTTGTGCACTTCTTTGCTATTACAGTTTAATTGTTAATACAGGCTATCAAGCAAATTTACAATCGCTTCTTACACATCCACCAAAAGACACCACAATGAAAACTTTCAAGGACTTGGAAGATGTAGACTTTAAGATTTCTTTATCACGTTTGGAGTTCAATATGTTTACATTAAACAGAACAATTAAAAAATTATTAAGATTTGAGGAAACTTACCGAGACTTTGTGAAATTGCGTGAATCAATGAATACGAGTTATGCCTACCCAGTATCTCGTACACGTTGGCAGGTGTTTCATGAAAGACAAATGACTTACGAAAACAACGTTTTTTACTATGCCGATAATATGTGTTTCCTCAAATTCATTGATCTTAGTATACCGGCTCGTAAATATTTACCCTATCGTAATGTGTTTGCTGAGCATATACAGCGCTTACACGCAAGCGGTTTAATAAATTATTGGACATCCTTTTAATTTTTACGATATGGTTAGGCAAAATCTTACAAGTTTAGAGGATATAAGTGAACCAGTAAAATGGGCTCAACCATTAGGTTGGTATGATTTGATAAAGGTAGGGATTTTGTATGTTTTTGGAATTGTCATCTCCTTGTTTGGATATACCATAGAAAAAATAACTTGGATATATATGCAGAAGCGTAAATTTAATCGGAAATTATACACTAAAGCGTATAGTAATAAAAAGAATTCATTTATGTATTTACCATAGTTATATCTTACATAATAAAATAAATGCAAATACATATTTTTACATATTATTCTTCTTTATGCATTTATAAGAGTAGAAATTGGTGGATGAAGATTTGATTTTCACAAGTTTTATATAAGTTCTTATTATTATTATTATTTTGGTATATTAAAAGATTTGTTCCGTGAGTGCTGGCTGTAGCGAACTAGTGACTTATCTAAAGAATTAAAACATTTATTAATAACACACGTACATTAAACTATTTTTTTCGTATATTAGAAGTTTGAAAAATTATTTCAATAAAACAGAAAATACATATTATAAGGACCCTTGTCATCTAGAAGTATTCCTATCATCTTAATTTATCATTAAACGTTTTTAAAATCCGCTTCACAGCAGCAGATAGTGATCAATTTGAATCCAAATCTTTGCAGGAGTACAGAATAACAAAAGTCCAACTAATTGATGTAAAGTCCATCATCAGACCTTGTGTTATGATCATGACAACAATAGAAAGGCAGCAGAAAGAAAAATCTTATATAATGACAGAATATTAAAATCAAGTGTCAGTAACCGCAATTCATGTATGAGATTGGAGAATGAACGGACAAAGTGGAAATGTGTGAAGAATATTTTCACCCGACTATGTAATTCGGATAAGTAACCACAAATTATTATTTGTTAATCTTTTTTATTACTATTATTTTCTATGATACTAGTATTTTGTCATAAACAAATGTCAACATTTCACACATCTTTCACAATTTTTCTATTTTCAAATACACTCCTCTTTCAGCATCACGAAAGTGTTTATTCAATTTATATTTCATAGGTATTTGTGTTTCTTTGGTGGGAGAAAATCGATAGTTTTTAAGCATCATATATAAACCAATTATAATTTGCATATAGGCAAATCTGTAACCAATACAAGCTCGTGGTCCTTTGCCGAAACCCATATATGCCATTGGATGACGTTTTGCAATTTCTTCTGTCGAAAATCGGTTGGGATCGAAACGTTGAGGATTTGGATATATGTCTGGATCATAGTGTAAGGCATCAATTGGCAAAATAACTCTAGTTCCTTCTTCAATGACATGATTTGTATTTGGTAAAATATAGTCTTTGACAGCTTTGCGTACGATAACCGGTACAACTGAATACTTACGCGTTGTTTCTGATAAAAAAATATAAAAATATATTAGTTTCAACATTCAGTTTAGTACATATAGTGTTTATGGTACATACCGTACATACAGTGAAGTAAATACTTCATTTCTTTAACTGCTTCATAAGTAAGTTTGCCATCATGCTGAGCCATAACTTCATTCATTTCCGTCCGAGCCTTCTCTTGAATGTCTGGATTTAAAGCCAGTTCGTATAAACAAAAACTCATTACACTTGAACTTGTTTCAAAACCTCCTACAAAAAACAAAAATGTCTGTGCAGTCATCTCTTCCATTGTGAAAGCATCTGATGTTTCTGATTTTCTTAACTCCATTAATATATTAAGATAATCTTTTCGTTGTATACCCGTTTTCTCTCGATATTCTACAGTGTCACGAACAATTTGAAAGAAGAAGTCTGAAATTTCTTTTGGAAACAGTTTCATTCTGAATTTTCGAGCTAAATTTGGAAAAGTGTTCATAAGCGAAACAACAGGCTTACTGTGTTTAAAATAACCAATCTTTTCACAAGTTTTACTAAATTTACTTGTTGGATCCTTTAATCTATTGCACTCTAAACCGAAAGCAACGCTTCCTATAACGTCTGTTGCATAGCGTGACATAAGATCTGCAAAATCAATTCCTATATTCATATCTGCAGACTTTCGCTCATCTTCCAAAACATTGATTAATTGATCAGCTACATCGACGACAGTGGTAAACATACTTTTTATTTTTCCTGATGTGAAAGTTGGAGTTAATTTTGTTCGTAAATTTTTCCAGTGCTCTCCTTCTAAAAACAGCATGACAGCAGAAATTGGATCATCTTTTTTATTATAATACGTTCCTCGATCTGTAAAATGTGCAAAATCGTTCACACATATAT